AGGCGGCCCCGGCTCGTCCCGTGCGGAGCCGGCGCTCCGGCCCCACGCGAAGCCCACGTCACCCACCTGCGGCTCCGGCGCCGGGTCCCGAGCGCTGGAGACCCGGCCGCAGCTGGCTGGGCGTCTGGCTGTCGTTCTGTGACGCCACAAGGATCCGGAGACGGGGGCGGGGCGGGTACGTGTGTTAAGTGTCCCTCGCTTGCAGCGCGAGGAATCTAAAAAGGGTCCGGTGGTTTTCCGCATTCTCTCTCGCAGGGACACCGAGCGCCGTGGCCTCAGCGAGCGCCCCCCGATTCCCGAGCTGGGCGCTCGCTCCTGCTTAAGTCAGTGCCTGCCCGTGTAAACGAGTGCTTTGGTCTCCTGTTGTCCCGTGCGTTATCATGCATTTCAGCATACATCTGGGCGAGACCGGAAGAGAGTTGGCCTTGCTGGATGGCTGTCGAGGCAGGCCCTGGGAAACGCCCCTCTGAGCAGAGCAGGACCGGTATAAAAATAAGCTGCTTGCCGGATCGGGATGTCTTTTCCAGCTGAAGGCGGTACTGCCCAGCTTCTCGAACCAACCTGTTAACAGGTATTCATTCGAGAGCCCTTCCTCGTTCCCGGTGCAAAGCTAAGCACTGTGCGAGTGTAAGGGAAATATTTCCTTCTGGAGAGGAATTCACAATCAAACTGGACGAGGAAGACTAACGTATCAAATAACTGGGCACAGTTAAAGGCAGTCTTGTACTTGGTTACTGTTTCACTGTGAAATACGTAGAGTTCTGGTCCTAGCTCTCAGTCACTTGACACAGTCCTTTTTTCTTTTTTAAGTGGAAGAAGTCTTCTGGAATAGCCTTCCTGTGTCATCTTGTTTTACCACTCCTTGTAACTATAACTTTCTAAAAAATTGGGGCTCTCTATTCCTTCGTTAGGTTTCTAAGCTTTCTCATTTTACCTTTGAGATAGTTTAAGTGAAAGAATCTCGGCCAAATGAAGTTTTCCTGGAAATATAGATAACTAATCATTGCCGAAGAAAGCCTTTTCCGTGATGTCTATATTCCTAGCTTCTCTCTTTTCACAAAATCTTTTTTCACATCGAATTTTCTTAGTTCCTTTAGCCAATCATATACATGTGGAATAAAATTATCTCAATATTCTAGTCCCTGTTTGTAATAAGACAGAGATGTAAGAGGTACCAATGAAAATTAATCACTAGCAACGAAATAGTGCAAAACTTTCTGCTCTCTGGTTTATCTCCTTTAAAATACTCGTTAATGGGGCAACCCCCTTGCTCCCCTCCCACTGTGGGAGCTTTCTGTCCTCTTAATAAGTCCTGCTATCTTAAAAAAAAAAAAAAGAAAGAAAAGAAAATGCTCATAATGACTGTTCTTTGGGACTACATTCCCACAATCAGCCATATTAGTATATCAGTAATATTAACTACACACTGTTATTTCGGATCAAGATTATTGGGTGCCACACTAAACTTACCACTTCTCATGTCTTAAATAGTTTAGGTTTGTACATCATTGGAGATAAGACTAAAGCACATATTTTAACAAGAATAGCAAATATTTGAAAATCTGAAGACATGGTTATTTAGTGACATGAGAAAAAGCAAAGATAAAGACTGAAAATTGAAAATGTCAAAATTTCAAGTGAAATCCACAATCGTAGCTAACAACTGTCTCAGAAATAAAAATCAAAATTAAAGTGTAAGAGGGAAAAATATCAAAGATAATGTCCTTTTAGTGGAATAAAAATAAGAAAAGTGATTTCCCAAATATGTGCAATTCACTGAAATGTGACATTGCAAATTTAAACACTTCTATACGATCCTAAAATTGTAATTGGAGATCCATATGCTTTCAGTTGAAATATTCTGTTTTAAAATATGGGCCTACTATCACGTAAGCAGTAATTTTTACAGGCATGTACGCCTGTGTGTATGTGTATTCAGCATCATGTTGGAATTCATCAAGCCATGACTGCAATCATTTTCACACGAGCTTATAAACAACTCCTGACACACAGCTTTTCCTAGTACCGCACCTTTACTGCTTTGGATGGGGAGGGGAAAAAATTCCAACATTGTAAATATAAAGTAACAGAATGGGCCCAAAGTGTTCCCTGAAGCACAAATAAAGGTAGCCAAACTTTCGTGATCACTCCCAGAGAGAAAGGAAAAACGAACACCGATGACTCCAAGGCCTCGCAGAATCTGGACACGCTTTCCCAGTGCCTCGCGATTGCACACAATTGCAAACGCTTCGTTCATAGACCACGCTTTAAAAACCAGGGGAACCGCAAGACCAGGCGGGGCCTGGTGACCGCTAAGCGACCCACTGCGACCGCCCACCCAGCGCCGGCGCCGGCCGGGATGCGGGCCTTCCCGGGCGGGGGGAGGTGTCCGCTCGGGGCTCGAGGGCCGCCCCTTCGAGCCATCGGAGCCCTGCAGGCCCCCGGCATTTTCTCAAGGCAGAGATCCCAGCCCGCGCTCGGGCGGGGCCG